GAGGCTGCTCAAAGCAAAAAGTGATGTATATGTTGTTCAAGTTAGAACATATAGAGATAACTCTGATAATACAGTCCAATTTTTATTCAATATATTTATTTACATAAGTATTGCATATATTGGTTACTAGCATTTATAAATTAAAGAAAAAATTGGCAGGATAGAAGGCTTTATTTTAAGATGGCTGAAATTAAGAGACCTTTATAGGTTTAGTTAAGTTGGTATTACTAATTCTATTTTTTATGGTCAAGTTTAAGGGACAATAACCAAAATATGCTGTGTCTTTATTACATTCCAGATGGTTATACATTTCACTGGTTCCGAAAACCTCTGGAAGAAGAAGTTCTTCTTAGCTGAGGTTCATGTTGCTGTACATTGGTTGCATATCCCAACCAATGTACTTAACCGTCCTGAAACATGAATTCTCAACACATTTGCATTTACATAAACTGTCTTTCATCTTTCCATAACTACTTATTGAAAGTGCTCATCAGCTGCCTGTTAACTTTGTGTGCTAAGTGGTGAATAAAAAGTTATGCTACTCTAGTCAGAAGAATAAATCAACGTTGAGTGATTCAAGCAGATACTTGATTATACTGAAACTCATGTATCTGCCTTGAGCATTTGTGGTTTTTCAGTTTTGTACCTTGACCTCAGATTGCACCAGTCAGTTCTTTGTGTAAATAACCCCTGGGCTTTGTGTTTACCCTGCAGCTCCCAGTATGGTTGGAGGGGCAGTGGGTTGAGCATGGGGGATGGTGTGTTGGACTCGGGGAAGGCCAGTGACCTGTCTGTGTGTAGCTGGCCTGTGGAACCCATTCACTGGACCCCGTTCCCACTTCTGCAGCAGCTGGCATCCCACAGGAATCCTGCAGTGAGTGTCTGTCCATGGAAAGAGTTTGTTAGAGGAGAAGATCAGGTTTCATGATGTTTTTCCTGTTCTATCAGGTTAGGATGTCACGGCCGCGGTCCTACTGCGAAGGCATGGAGCTGGTAGACATGGGAAAGAGTTGGACTGCTTGATGACCTGAGGAGCAAGAAAATCTGTTACTGTTTTTATGTTAAACCTAAATGCTTTGTTAATAAAAGATGTTAGGAAATAAATTATGAATGTGTACATTTTTTCCAAAAGTATTTTATATACTTTTATATACTTATCTGTGGAAAATTATTTGCTTTGTTTGAAATGGTTCATAGTTTGTAGATAAATCATATTTGGTTCCCATACCTTCCAGTGATGGAGAAAAACTTTTCCTCTTTGTCATAAAATGGCATGCTTAAAAATTGTTCAGAGAAGATTTTAGTCTTTTCCTAGCTCACTTTTTTTTAATTCAATCTTTAGTATTTTTTGCATATCCTAATTTAATGTTACTTATTTTACAAAAGAGGTATGAGCTCCTTTATTTACTTTGAAATATGTCATCTTTCCCAATCAGAAAAGATTACTTTTTCTTCCATGTTTGGTTTTCAGCCCTTAGTTTGGTAAATTAAAGCATTACTGACACCAGTTGGTGAGAGGTGTGAAGCAAATTTCACAAAAAGACATTTCATACAATGACTGTTTTAAAACAAAATATGGTCTGATTCCTTTTTCTTCTTGAATTATTCTTAAATAAACCAACAAGGTCTAGTTTTGACTGATTCAATGATGCAGAATACTCAGAATAATTTAAGTTAGGAAATTAATGAATTGTACAACCTAGACTGGATGAAGAAAAGTGAGTGTTCATTTAGTTCCTGTCTTGTCCCATCTGTCCCTTGTTTCCCCTGATTACCTTCCCTGGATATTTATACCCACCTGTGCCTCAGCTCCCTGTTGGGTCCTTGTTGTGTCTAATGTCCATATCCTGCCTTTGTTGTCTTTTGGTGTAACTACCAGTGCTACCAGTTTCAGTGTTTCTTTGTCTCATCGCTCACCTGTGCTGCCTGGAATTCTGTGTTCTTCATTAAACCACAATTTTCACCATTACCTGAGTCCATCACTCACCTCAATCCACACAATTCATGATACTGAATTGTGTAGATGCTTTATGGCAAAATGAAATTGCCACAAAGCATCTACATGCACTCCCTGCGGTAGGCACAGCTTTGTTCATTTTATAAAGAATATCTCCTTTCTGGCGGTCTGTCCACCATCTTCCCTGCTTAAGACACATTTTGGGTTCACTAAAAGGGCTCCTCACTGCTCCTATCATGTCCCATTTGATGTGAGTGGGACTTAGATTCTGAAGGTCTAAGGTGCTTTGTGAATGATTTATCTTACAGAAATAAAATTCTAAGACAAATTCCATTGTAATTTTTTTGCCATATGGATTCTTTGAGAATACAGGTCCTGGACCTTGTTTTTTCAGTCATGACCCATATCTCATAGGAGGCAGCATGGATGCAGCAGAGCAGGAGCAAAGAAAGAAGTTCAAACCATCTCTTCAATCAATCATAAGGTGCTGTTTGAAACTGTTGGCTTAGCTAGTTGTCTAAAGTCCAAACCCTGATAACAAGTCAGCCAGAGCACCAGAAATGCAGTGTAACATGTTTTACTGAGACTTGGCTGCAGGATCGTATCCATGTCTCCGTCTCTGTTGGACTTCAAGCAGACAGAGTGAAGAGCAGTGGAAAAAGTTAAGGAGTAGCAGTGCTTGTCCAATCAGTGTTGTTTTTTCCATCCTCCCTCTGTGTGGACAGTTTTGTTCTTGTTTTTCTGTTTTTCTTACTGGTCATGATATTGTAATGATCATTGAAACTAATTTTGAGGTTTTCATGAGATATAAGCCTTTGTAATAAAAAGGGAAGTTTGGAATATATAATGTGTAAAAAAATTCTGTATTATTTTTTATTAAATCACATTTTTGACAATATTCTAATTGATTATGATTAAAGATTATGATTATGTACTAAGCTATCTTTATCTGGTTTTGAATTCTTGTTTGTACAGCTGTTTGCTATGTTTATCAACACACACACTAGCTAATATAGTTTTTTGTATGTTAAAATTAAGTCAAAAAGCAGTGTAGTTACACACTACAAACCATTTATTAGAATAATTAAATTAAGTAAAATTATCCCAGTCACTAAAGGTTCAGATATTGTTTTTTTTTTTTTATTTTGAAATTACCAAATCAGTGAAATTACCAATCAGTTTGTTCTCTAAGTTTCACAATACTTCTTTGCAGGTTTTTCTTTAGTTTACTCAAGCATGCACTAAAGCCACAACTCTTATAATTAACCTACCCTAACACCTAGGAGAAACAACAGTAAAGGCAAAAAGGCAGAAATGCTGTTTAATCTGTTTCACATTCCCAAAAGCGTAATGTGAAGTAGAACAATAGTGGTTCATTCAAGTAAAGAGGAGGGGGAAATGTTCTAAAATAAAGAAGGATAAGAAGGCAATTAGTATTTAAAGGAGAGACGGCACCAGAGGTCAGGCAGGGGTGAAAGTGGACAGAGGCTACCTGCTGGCTTTTTCCATATATGGTCTTAGTCAGAGCAGAGAGCCAAGCCTGAGAGTTTCTCTGTGAATGTGTGAGTGAGTAACGCAGGAAGGAGGGCCTACTGTACGTATGTGTTGTAATTCATGTATTACTCATGCATGCTGCAAAGTTTTGAAATAGCTTAAAAACAGAGTTCAGATAAAATACTGAGAAATCTCAATGTGGTAAAATGTATCAAAATATAAATAACGGGAAAAGAAGTTCCTGCAAATACCATTTAAATTAAAAACCACCAAAAACACATGTATACCCTTAAAAAGAAAGCTTCATTCATTTCCTCAGACTAGTCACATGATCTGAGCTGTGCATTTTTTCCTCCCCATGTGACATCCTCCAATATCTCCTTATATGGACGTCATCCAAAAGCTCTCTTAAAGGGATGGTTCCCTGCCCTCAGTCTATACTTGGTGCTTGTGAGTCTAAAGCAGGATAATGCCGCTGTGAAAAGCCAACTCCCTGATCAGCTCATTCAGCCAGCCTGGATGCTGTCCTCAGCTGTGGTCATTTCCTACATGCGTGTTTAACAACGGGAGAAAACAAAACAAAAAAAGAGTCCCTATAAAATCCTGCTTCCCGTCCCTACTGGTGAGCTGGATTCCATATATCCTTATTAGGAACCCTCAGAGCTTGAAAGAATTCCCAGTGTCAGTTTATAAGTCTTCCCCCAGTGCCCTAATTAAGTTAAAACGGCAGCCTAACCCTGCCTCTCATTCTCAAGAGGAACACTACAATATTTGTCAAATTTTAGCTTTAGTTATTATCCCAATAAGTTGAAGTGTTAGCCATGTTTGCAAGGGGAGCACGCATATTAAAATGAGTCATAACATGGCCACATAATTTAATGCCAACTCACCTATTGTGTATCATCAAGCCAAAGGGTGTTCCCTGCTCACCTATTACACAAGTGGTTACGCATAATGAGATTTACAGTCTGCTGAGTTTTTATGTTAAACACACTTCAAAATGTCCACGTGTATCTGTCACTCAGATCACTATCATTGTGTATTAAAGTGTATTAACAAAGCTGTCAGCAAACCTGACACTGTAATTTTCCAGTTTATCTGTAGTAACTATTGTAAGGCCAGGCTTGTGTTTCTAAACACATCTAATTCATCAAAATTAGACAAATAATGAATATATTGGAAGGATAACTAAAAAAACTAGTATGTTTATGAGTTAAATCATGACAAAATAGGCTTTTGCCTTTTTCCAAAAGTCATTAAAATCGTAATGATAAAGGAGGAATAGACAGGTTGGTGTATTTCCCTGACCTCTGGCTGACATAATAAAACTAATTCTGAAAATTACTTACATATGGATTAAGTTTTTCTTTCTTTTTTTTTTTTTTTTTGGCGCTTTTCTGCACTTCAGTATCAAGCATATCAGCAAGCAGAGCTGGTATTTGCATGTGCCACACCCAGTGGATGCAGCGGAGCCAATCAGAAGGCGCTGTGCGGAAAGTTTGCCTTATATGGAAAGGGGCTGAAGCTCGAGCGCAAATAAAGTCCTGGGAATTATTGGCCTTCATTGCAGTCGACCTCAGACACCTGAGCACTAAACATACCGGTCAGACACTAAGCTGATAACTCTCCTTCGCAGAGGTAAGAGCAACGGATTTGAGGTTTTTTGCTGTTGTTGTGGCTGCACTTCTTTAGCGTTTTCAGACTGTACTTTATACTGTTGTCGCTTTCGTCTTTAATGTTCTATGATCTCGTTAAACGTATCGTTAAGGTGGCTTAATTTGATACCCAAGAAAACCTTTCAGTGTCGGTGTTCAGCTTAGTGGCGTTGCATTTTTAAACGGTTACTTCAAAGCATCATGTTACCGCTCGCACTGACTTAAATCTGGCTTAAAACGGACCTAGCTTTCCAGTTGCGCATCAGCGTTAGTAACGCGTCTGGTTCCTTGGCTTTGACGTTAAGGTGCAACTTGTCTTTTTAAAATTGAAAACTGGGGGGGAATAAGCAATTGGAAGCTGAGAAGTTCTCTTCACAGCTAGCATCTCAAAAAGCCCCATGTCTGCACGATTTAGTCGATATTTGTTTACGTCAGATAAACAAATATCTTTTAGGGACTGAATATGCGACATTTGGAGACTTTATTCTGTATCGGTAACTCCGGTGAAGGGTGTGGCCGCCTGTCGGTGTCGTGAGGCTGGGGCTACTGCCGAGATGACTTCCGGGCCGGTGTGCCACTGCTGCCTCCAGGCTGCCCTCACTTTTTGCCTTTTATGGCCATGTCCAGACCGGTCGAGAAACTGCCTTTTGTTTCACAGCTCTGGATTTGACCGAGGATTTACTCAACTGCGACACCTAGCGTTCAGATGCTACAACAAGAGTTTCAACTATTGGATCTAAATTTTTCTTTCCCTCTTAGAAAATGGAAGATGAAATTGCAGCCCTCGTTGTTGACAATGGCTCTGGAATGTGCAAAGCTGGCTTTGCAGGAGATGATGCTCCACGTGCCGTCTTCCCCTCCATTGTTGGTCGCCCCAGGCATCAGGTACAAACTCGCCTCCTTCTCCCTTTATTTGAAAACATGATTGCAAACCTTATAGGGTGAAACTAAAACACTGCTTTCCCAGGGCGTAATGGTTGGAATGGGCCAGAAAGACAGCTATGTTGGTGACGAGGCACAAAGCAAAAGGGGAATTTTGACCCTGAAGTACCCCATTGAGCATGGCATTGTGACAAATTGGGATGACATGGAGAAGATCTGGCATCACACCTTCTACAACGAGCTGCGAGTTGCACCTGAGGAGCACCCTGTGCTGCTCACAGAAGCCCCCCTGAACCCTAAAGCCAATAGGGAGAAGATGACCCAGGTAACTAGTGTAATGTCTCATAAAAACATTCTGTTTGCAGGACTGTCTTTTAGTTTTTCTTGGTCTTAAACTCCTCCTGTTCCTCAACTTGTAGGTTTTTCTTCCCTGAGCTGAACTTTTCATCTCTTCAGGTTTCTGGTTTTCTGCACTGAATAAATGACTAGCTGCAGCATGGGCAATGAAGTTTTCAAATTGCACGTCTGTAGATTAGTTCTGACTAATCTGGTTTTCTGCTTAACTGAAACTTGTACATTAAAAATGACAAAGCCCTGTCTTTCTAACTTTCTCAGGACTTGTGAATTCAGTGAGTAACAGTTCCCCTCTCCTTCCAGATCATGTTTGAGACGTTCAACACACCTGCCATGTATGTAGCCATCCAGGCTGTGCTGTCCCTGTATGCCTCTGGACGTACCACTGGTATCGTCATGGATTCTGGTGATGGTGTGACCCACACAGTGCCCATCTATGAAGGGTATGCTCTGCCTCATGCCATCCTGAGGCTGGACCTGGCTGGCAGAGACCTCACAGACTACCTCATGAAAATCCTGACTGAGAGGGGTTACAGCTTCACAACAACAGGTAAGCAAACTTCTGTTTACTGGAACAAGTTGCCTTAAGGTAATCTATTCCCTGACCATGTCAAAACCTGTATTCCTCCAGCCGAGCGTGAGATTGTGCGCGACATCAAGGAGAAGTTGTGCTATGTTGCACTGGACTTTGAGCAGGAAATGGGAACTGCTGCTTCCTCCTCTTCATTGGAGAAGAGTTATGAGCTCCCCGACGGCCAGGTCATCACCATCGGAAACGAGAGGTTCCGTTGCCCAGAGGCCCTCTTCCAGCCTTCCTTCCTGGGCAAGTTGCATTAACAGTTGGATGCAATGTTTTTTTTAAATTTTGTGGGGTTTTTTTAAACAAATTATCACTCTGCTTCACAGGTATGGAATCATGTGGCATTCATGAGACTACCTTCAACAGCATCATGAAGTGTGATGTGGATATTCGTAAGGATCTGTACGCCAACACCGTCCTGTCTGGAGGTACCACCATGTACCCTGGCATCGCTGACCGCATGCAGAAGGAAATCACCGCCTTGGCACCCACAACCATGAAGATTAAGGTAAGATAGAAAATGGCAAGACTTCTGACCTTAACACCTTTGGACTGAAATATTTTGAACGATGGAGAGTTCTGAATTTGAACTTGCTGTTGGTCTTTCCAGATCATCGCTCCTCCAGAGAGGAAGTACTCTGTGTGGATCGGAGGCTCCATCCTGGCTTCCCTGTCTACCTTCCAGCAGATGTGGATCAGCAAGCAGGAGTATGATGAGTCTGGCCCCAGCATTGTCCACAGGAAGTGCTTCTAAAAAGACTTTCATTTCTAAGCCTGCCACCCTCCCAAAAAACACTGCTCCAGCCCAAACAGGTTCTGCATACCTGCACCAACACACTGTGCTGAGCCGACACCTCTTCCATTCTGTCATCACTCTGGCTGTGGCACTATGGCCCTTGATGGGGTGACACTACAGGAAGTAGAGGGCATCCTTGGCGGTGTGAATGTGTGAAACTTGTCAGTTGTGAAGTCATTCCAGATGTCTTTGTTCACCACCTTATTTGCCTCTATGAAGGTTAATTCTGTTGGGCTTACTGTGTATTGCTTAATGTGTAAATTATGTAATCGGAACTTTTTTTTCGTACTCGGCCTTAATATTTGGTCCAGTTTGTCATCATGCAAAAAGGACTTCTACATTTTGAAGTGTATGAAGGTTTGTGCATGGGGTGTTAAGTCTCCAATGTACACAACAACCCAATAAAGCGCACATGTCTGAGATTTCTGTCTGCCTGGTCTTGAGTGGTGTTGGGTGGGGGGGTGTACAATTAGTATTGATGCCTTGTGAATTTCAAATGAGGGTCTTCAAAAGCTTTACATGGAGTCAAACTTGGTCAGTGCTAACTTAAATTATCTAGTATTTGACAATGCAGAGCAAAAAGTTAAAAACCTGAAACCTTTTTTTACAGTCAAGCCAAATTACTAATCCTGCTTGCACATGTCTGCCAACAATCTTCAGTTGAAAACACCATTTCAACATTTGTTTGAAACCAAATGTTACAATCATGGCTATATGGCACTTGAGTTTGGGAAATGAGATGCACTTGGTGCAAGTTGTGCAAAATTTTCAAAGTTGTATTTAACTGTGGCAATGAGTAACTTGAGTGAGGCAAGGATGGAGTAAAATGTCTCTACCCTGATTTAGAGGGTAATTTGGCTAAAAATGGAAATGCATCAAAATTCCAAGCTAAAATCTAGAGCTATAAACTTGTGCATGAGATTTCAAAGAAATGTCAATTACTGTTCAGAATAAACCTAACTTTTTAATTTGATTTTTTTCAGAGGATGGACAAGCTGTTAAATTGAAAAACTCCTAGGCTGTATGTCATACATCAATCATTTCATCTTGAGAAATTTATGATGCAGCTACACAGGTCGGAGTTACCATGGTACATTTATACTTGGCTTTGATTTAGAGGTCCATCCAAAATCAGTTGTATAAATTTTTATAATTCAATTGAAAAATGTAAACTCATTCACTGTGCAACATAATTCACGTGTGCATTCTGTGTACTGAGTTAAGTTTCATAGCTTTTCATAGCTAGACTCTTTTTTTCATGAATCACTGCAATGTCTTTGACACTAAAGTGTTAATGAAACCCAACATGCATATTAGTGGCCTTCAGCTCTTCAGCATTTTTTTATTGTGCAGTTTTTCCCCTTTGCCAATTCTTCATATTCTTTGTGTGGTGTAGGTCTGAAGAATTTGCTGGCCAATCAAGCACAATTAGACTGTGGTCTTTAATGGCGGTGTTGGTGGCCGTGTGGACAGGTACCAAGTTCTGTTCAATATTGAAGTGGCTCTCCATAAAGCTTGTGAGCAGATGGAAGCATGAAGTGCTCTAAAATGTCCTGGTAGATGGCTCCACAGACTTTATAACTGAGACTAAACAGAGGACTAACACCAGCCGATTATGTGGCTTCCCTAATTATTACTGACTGAACAATTTAACCACCATACCCCTTTTCTATCTGACTTTGGGACTTTAATTCCAAATTAAATGCAAAACTTACTTTTTATCTTAAATTATAAAACTGAATATCTTTGGATTGTCTCTTGTCTGTAGTACAGGTAAGACACGTTGTCTACCTGGCTAAGCAGTGGCTGAACACAAGGGATACTACAGTTGTAGCTCATTGGCTAGGATACACTCTGTATGGTGGCTGACTCTTTGAAGCACAGACTCCAACCACCCTCTCAAGGGTGTAGTTATCCCTCCTACTTATGGACTCCTTTATATTTCAGGATGAGAATGTGAGGTTTAAGAGTCATTAAATTTAATAGTTCATCAGGTGTGGGGAGATTTAAATGTTTGTAGGTTGATGAGTATGAGAGAGGCAGAAAATCATAAGATCTTGTATCTTTTAACTGTTCCTTTTCAAACTGTAAAATTGGATAATTTTACATAATTATTATTAATTTTTTTTTCTGTTTTTACTTTTTGTCTGTCCAAGACAGACAGATACTCATAAACCACACTACACTCCGTACCAGTATATAGCGGTAATGCTACTTATAGTTTTATGCCAATCGCCAATAAAAATCAAGAAGAAGACGACGACCAGCCGGAAGTTAATCCGTCCATTAAGATCTTCCCGCTGGTGCGGCCTCAAATATCCTCCGTCTAGCAGCTAACTGCAGCCTGTGGTTCGGTGTTAAAGCAGGAGGACTGGAACATGAAAGGCACGCGGATTTCATTTCAAATCAATGTTTAGAAATAACACACCAGTCATGAATGAGACTGCACCTGGGATTATGGAGGGAATGGATCGACAGATCGAGCAGGTAGGAAGGCGAGGTTTTAACAGGGCTGGCTAGATATCTTAACTAATATTTGTTATTTTAATCGCTTCTAAGCTTAAGACAAAATTCTGCTTAGTTTACCCTGGCGGTTTTTAATATTCAGATATAGAGAAACAGACTGGTAGGCATTTTGAAATGGTTCAAGTGGATTAAGGGCGTAAAAGAAAAAAATAAATGTAAGAAAATGTTGACGATGCACTTCTTTTTATTATGCACCACCCAATCATAAATGATTATGCAGCATAATTATTTTTTGTACAAAATCTAGGTTGCTGCATGTGCTGTCGCATTATGTAGGGCTCACACACTCTGCCATAGGACATGTACATGCAGTGTGAAAAAGTATCTGCTTTATATGTCATGTTTATTTTTAGGTCATATTGTGATATCAGACAAAGATAATCTGAATTGTGCGACAACAAATACATTTTAAATGTTTACGATAAGAGCTGTGGTGAGACTTAGGCTTTCCTCTTTGCATTCCTGTTTTATTATTAATACAGGACGAAAGCAGTTGAGTGAATTCTGAGGTTTTGAGAAACACACCGTTTGCCCAAATCCAGATAAATGCAGGTAAATCTTAGGGGCGACGTTTCTAAATACAGACGAACAATGATCCAACACATACAGACAAAACAGCCCAGGTGTTCATTAAAGCAAATAAGTGAAATATTGTTGAATATTCTTGAACTACAGTGGACCAGCGGTCACCCGTTGACTGCTGGAGATGGACACCAGCCCCCCTTGAGATCCTGCAAGGATAAGTGTGTAGATAATGGATGAACCAGAAAATGGAAGGCATTTACTTTTGAGCTCCTGAAATGAAAATATTGTTAATTCCTTCAGCTTCCTAGCTCAGGTTAAAAACTGCATTTCTTTACTGAATGTCAGGAAATTTGGTTCTGTAGAGTCTGCAATCCTGTCGCCAGAAGCAGTTCTCACTTTGACTGGTTCTTGGTTGAAGGAACAACATATTTACAAATGTTACAGTTTACAATATCTTTTATTGAGCTATCTCGGTGAGCTGTCTCATAAACTCTGACTGATATAACGGATCTTTTGTCTCTGTGTCAGGCTTTCTGTAACCAGGGCACCATGTCGTCTGGCTCGGTTGGGATGTCGGATCTGTCTGATGAGATCTTGTTGTGTATCCTCCACCATGTTCCAGTGTGTGACCTGCTGACTAATGTGGCAAATGTCTGCCAAAAGTTACACACACTTTGCTACGACAAGACACTGCTCACAAACGTCAGATTTTCTGAAGAATATAGGGTAAAGCAATTAAAAATCTCTTACATTCTTTGGAGATAAGACATTTCAGGACTGAGAAATTATTTGTTTTAACTTTGTGTTTAGTTCAGAAACAAACACATGAACAGCATGTCAAATACACTTTTTTAGGGCATATCTGTACAGGTGCTCATGAGTTATAAAACTTTCCCTAACATTAAAGTGGAAAAAAGGCAGCAGGTCTGGTTTTAATAATAATAAACCTTGGTTTGTTTTTTGTTTTTTTATTTCCAGGCTGACGATCAGTTGGTCTGTCGCACTTTAAAGCTGCTAGCCAACCACGTACAATCCCTCAGCCTCAACAGCTGCTACTGGCTGTCAGCCTCCACCTTAGACAAACTGGCACGATGCAGAGGAGTAACACATCTGGATGTAACCGGCTGCCGCCTCACCTCCCTTTGCCTGTCGCGTCTCTTATCCTCTTTGTCTTTGCTCAGATCGCTGGCGTTTGATGTTAGGCCCTGTTTCAACTCCGCACTGCTCAGCTCGGAAGCCGTTGATTCACTGAGCCGCCTCACGGAGCTGAGACAGACTCTGTTTACACCGAGCTATGGCGTGGTGCCTTGCTGTGCCCAACTTCGCAAGTAAGAGTCTGTGGGATCAAAGGAATTGTGAGAAAACTGTAAGGTTAGGTCTTCCTATGCTCAGATACATATGCTGTTTGTACTTTTATTTCTGTAATGATTTCACTAAAACGGATAAATAACAGAAAAGGGGCTACAACTTATTTATACCAATTCAGACAACAATAGAAGCTCATAAAGCTCTCCAGAGGAGAGTAAACATCCAGCTTTTCAAACGGAGTATGAGGAATTTTCACCGCTCTGCATTTCCAGAATAGTGGTTGTCTCATAGGTCAGTAACTGTCGGACTGCAGGAGGAGAGATTCCATCAGGACAGAAGAGAGATGGAGAATTTTACACAATGAAGATGAAATGTTCAATTCACATGAACTTCCCCTTATCAGTGTTTATTATACAATTTACAGAAGTCCAAGTTTATAACATTTATTTAATACTCTGTTAGAAAACATTGTTTTTCTCTTAAAACCTTTTTTGGATGAGAAATATTAACTGATGTTCCAAAAATGTCATCAATTCAGTCAGAAGATCGGATTTTTCTATATCAAATTAGAATAAAAACCTGACCTAACAGATAAAATGAATGTCATTTTTGGATTCGGCTGTGCAAAATTATCCTAATTCAGTTGAAAAAACATAGAAAACTTCCAAAAAATCTTTTTTTGTAACCCGGTGTTATCATCGGTTCCACCGACTGTGAGGTGCATGTTTGGACAAGTGTTTTTTCCAGAGGACAGTGTTAGAGTTGACTGTTTGCCATTGTGTTTCAGGCTGATGCTGCAGTTTGACATTCCAGATGTGACCAGAGAGGGCATCGGTGTTTGCTGTCAGCTGATGGTCGGTCAGAGCAGCGTGCCACATTACGAACAGCTGGAGGAGTTCACGGCCAGACTAGCCCCAGGAGAGGTGAGTTATTTGGGATTCCTGTTAAACTATCCGTCTGATTCCTGTAATGTACGCTTTAAGAGATCGATCGATGTCCTTTCTGCACCAGGTCAACCAGACGCTGCTCCTTCTCTACCTTGCCGTGTTTAGCGTTCACATTCCAAAGCACCTCAGAGTTTTCCTAGTTTCAATTCCTGGTCCCAATCCGGCTCACTGGCCTGCTGCTCCCTCACTGGCTCAAAGTCTTGGTCGGCGTGGAGACCTGCTGGCGCTGCAGCTGCCACGCACCTGGCTGGATCCACTGTCCCTAAAGCGAGCTCTGGAGGGAAACAGCCCCAAGCACCTGAGCTTCAGCCGCTGCCCTGCGTTGTGGCCGCAGATCTTCCAGTCGCTGCTTGGCGGTGGAGTCAGAGACGCTGCTCAGCTCGTCAGCCTCAACCTCAGCGGGATCAACCATGTTCCGTACTCGGAGTGCAGGAGTGTGGAGGATCAGCTGGTTGCTGAGACAATGGGCCAGGTGGCTGCAACCTGCTGTAACGTTAAACACCTGAACCTTATGCACACGCATTATCATCACGAGTACTCACCTGGGCTGGACGGACAAACACACTTGGGTGCCAGCCTGGGCAGATTCAAACACCTGCGGTCTCTGACCTTGCCGGCCTGCGCTTTGTCAGACGGTGTAAATACAAATCACACCTCAGCGCGTGGCTCAACTCCCTCACTGCTGTTCCAGGGACTGAAGAAGGCCCCGCGTGTGGGTCTCCAGAATTACAGACCTGATATGGAGTCTTCGTTGGCCGGGGACAGCACTTCTGGGCTGGTTTTGCTCACAGCTGGCTGTCGCTTTTTAGAAACCTTTGAGCTCATCGGTCCAGGTTTTGCATCGGCGCTGCCTCGGCTTGAGCCATGCACCCGTGCCAGCGTGGAGCCTCGTGGGATGTGCGCTTGGGCGCGAGGAGTTGGAGATGTGCACCTGGCAGCGCTTGAAGCTTTACCTCGGCTGCATCGCTTGACTCTGGCCGGACTCCCTGGAGTCCTCAAAGGAACTGGACTGGTACAGCTGACTAGGAAGTGCAGAGACCTGCGGGTGTTGTCCTTAGCCAACTTGGGATCTCTGAAAACCATGAACTACACAGCCTCCTTGCTGGAGACACTTACACAGTGCACACAGCTGCAGGAACTCAGGTCAGAGGAAGTCTTCAACTTTTCTTTTCCTTGTTCAGAAACATTTGGCTGTGGATGGATGGTGAATTCCTAAACATAACCACATATTCCTTTAACTAGCAGGTTTTAGTTTTTTTGTAGTCTTCAATTTAGTTAGCATCATCTCAGTCAAGGATAAGCTGCAATTTAATCGTAAGATTTGCAACATATCATTAAGAAGTCCAAAGGATGAGAACTGAAACGTTTTTTTCTGACATTGTCTGAATGTGTCCTTCCATTCATCCAACCATTTTTTGTCTATCTATGCACCGAGTTGTCTTTTAACAGATCCATCTGTCCATCCTCACAGTGTGGATTTCTGCTGGAAACCTGAAGTCTTCATCTTTGTTTTATATGTGTGTGTGTGTGTGTGTTAGGTTAGAGCAGCCATACCTAAATGCCAATGCGTCTTTCTTTGAGGCCTTGTCCAGCTGCCATCGCCTGCAGCGGCTCTGTCTCATCTCCCGTAGCGGCACCTTTGACTCTCTGGCCACAGAGACGTTCATGGAGCGGTGCCGCCATGTTGTAATGTGCCACATGTTCATGGGCGGCACCCTGGCCGCCTGTCGGACACTGCAGAAGTCCCTGCTGGACAGGTAAGTGAAGATTAAGTTGCATTTATTGATTTCTTCTGCTTTTACTGTCGTGTCACACTCCAATGTTTCAAACTATCAAATATGTGTTAATATTAGATAAATATAACCTAAATAAATACACAAAGGTGTTTCACTGTGTTGACTCTAAGCTAACTAAACCAACCTAGCCTTGTGTAATTGCCATTTCTTGATAATCTTCTTTTCACTGACCCACTGACTGTAAATTCTTGACTGGTGGTTCACTGGTTTGATTCCCACTCCCCGTTTGTCCTTTGTTTTGTTTGTATTACATGTCCAAATGCAAGGGGGGCACTGCCATGCCAGTATCAAATGTTAAGGGGTTTATACTCTTCTTCATGATATGTATGTTTGGGTGATGAGCATGGCAGAACAAAGTTGAGCAAATAATCAAGAGAAGTTATTTTTGAAATGTTGGTCAGAAGGTTCGATGATGCGATATAGCATCATCCAATAAATTAGAAGTCAGTTTTGTGTTTTCTCTTTCTGTTAGATTTTCAGCTGAGCGTCCAGCACTCAGTGTGGTCATCTACCCGCTACAACACGAGGACCTGCCCTCCGTCATCAGGGGCATCTCACTGACGCTGCTGGATCGGATAACTTTGTTCCAGAGCCATGTGGCGCAGCCTCCACATTTATCACCCATATGACATCACCAGTGATCTGTAACGTAATTGCTGTTGCTGAAAATAAAATTTAGTGAAATACTGTCTGTCAAGCTTCTGATTGGGTAACAGCAGCAGTGTGAAGGAAATGCATCAGCAAAACTGTTTTGGGTAATAATGGTTCGTTTAGTCATCCATCTACACATGGTGCTACTCGAGCATCCCAGTCATAAATCATTTCAGTTGCTTTGTGTCTGTTTTAAAATAAGTGCCAACAATATTTATAGAGAATGAAGCTATAACACAACAAATGGTTTTGTGGCGTTTTTAAATGATTTCTTGTGTGCATGTTTTTTTTTTCTACAAACTAGAAGTTTAAACAAAAGTCTCTACTTATAACAATGGTCTGTTCCTAAAGATGTGCAAAATATGCTTTTTATGAATGAAAATGTAATTGTTCTATTGCATATAGAAAAGTCTAAACTTGTTTCCTCACAGTAAGCCACAAACAAATTCCAGTTTTCCTTGATGAATCAAACCTGGTTTAATTATATTTAATACAGAAATATCCTTACTAGTGATTATGCTTGTTGTTTGGAAGATTTTAGTCTGATATTGTAACTGTTATTTTGTCCCTTGCTGAAAGTATTTCATAAAAATATTTCCAAAAAGGCATCTTTTTTTAAATAATGATTCAGTTGTGTAATTTAATTTCTAAGGACAGGAAAATATTTACACATTTAGTGACATTTATAGGGAGGGAAGGTTATTTACTTTTCAGGACATATTAACTTTGATACAAGTTACCTTTTTACTTTATTTGCAATTAAAATCATCTTTAAAAGATGGCGGTGTCCCCTTACAGGGTCCTCTCATAATACATCCACTTCATAAACTATTTTATTTTGTTAAAAGTACAGCTGGTTTTGCTTCAAGACTATCGGTTTTTGTTGCAGCACACATGCAGACCTCTGGCATTGCATATAATTCTTCGGAGAGACATTCCACATATGGAGCCTTCATTGGGTATAGTGTGGACTAATGTGAGCTTAGCTCCCAGAAATACTGATAATCATCAAATATTGTTATACACAATTTTATCTATTCAACTCAGAAAACTTCATTTGATTAAGGTTATTGATCCGATATTGGCAGGGTTCTGATTTTTTTTTTCATACGTTTTGGGAGTGTGCCCCATGCATTTATCTTTATGACCAGTAGAGGGCAGTGTGTGTGTGTGCGCGCGCATAAAGTCTAGCATCACTGCAGACAGAATAATACATTGATGATAAAATCGATTAAATGTGGGACTAGAAGGAGTTTTTTCGACAACTTGTTTAACAGGAAGTAGAACCATATGTTGTGAAATCACATCGTCTAAACCGTCGTTTGTTTGCTAAAGTCTGGCGAATTTGCTCTCTAAATGATGACTCGGTATCTATTTTTCAGGTCTGGACTACTGCGTCATTGAAGCATGGTTGTTCAGGCCAACATGGTTTCCTCCAAACAACATTTGAGATTTTATATTTTAAAATAAATTAACTTTCAATTTATTTTAGAGGTAGAGAGTCACCACCGTGATAGCGCTTAAAGATGTTTGTTGTGATGCGGTGTTTACGAGACTGGAGTAAAATATCTGTGACCAGGGTTTCGTTTTTCCGTTCGGAGACGGGGATTCTAACAACACATCTCGGAGGTCTCAGAATACCAGAGCGCAGGTTCGCAGTCCTCTCAGCGACTCCATGTCGGCTCCCTGTCAGGTTTGTGTCCCTGTCCGCCTCTGTCAGAACGGATACTGGAGCCTCACCTGACCGGGAAAACTTCGGCTCCTTGTCTGAGGACATTTCCTCCAGGAGGTCGTTCAGGAAGAGCCGCCCGGACATCCAGAACCTGCGATACCGGGAGGATTTTATGGAGGAGGATGAGGAGGCAGAGGAGCAGAAGAAACCCCACAGAAGGACTGTGAGGAGAAACACTGCCTACTGGTACTTCTTACAGTGCAAGAGACTAATCAAAGAGAACAAGGTTTGCCTTAGTGAGCTGTCATTGCGACTTTCCTCACCTCTTTTCTTTGCATTAATGTTTCTATTTGTTCCGCAGCTGCAAGAGGCCCTGGATGTGTTCAGCAGCAACATGCTGAAGGAGGAGCGGCTGCAGCCTGAGGAGTTCAACTACTCTGTGCTCATTGGAGGCTGTGGTCGAGCTGGACAACTCAAAAAGGCCTTCAAACTTTACAACGATGTAGGGAAAAGTGTTGCAGTTTAATATCTGCCTCTCTTGTCATGCCATCACCCCTGTTTTTTTCTTTTCTTCCTTGTAGTTCTTACTTATTTCCAGTATTTTGAGATTTTATGTATTAAAATGAACAAAAAGAACTATAAAATCTGACAAGTTGAGTCTGAAAAACTTTTGTAGTTTTTACATGGAAAAAGTGTAGGAATCCAGATGATAAGTGGTGCTAGTTTAATGTTACACAATCTCACTGTTTGTGTGCTTTTTAAAAAAAAATTATTTGACTGGAAATATTTTCAAACAGCCAAGTTTGTTGGTTGTTAAGCCAGAATATTGACTATACCAAAACTTTTTATACTCAGCTGAGTCTAACCTTCCAGTTTACAGACCTTCCTAGTGACCCGGTCAGTAACCTCTGTAAAGCTCTGTGTGCTGCTGTCTGCTGTGTCCTTCAGATGAAAAAGCGAGGTCTGGCTGCAACAGATGCAACCTACACCGCATTGTTCAACGCCTGTGCCGAGTCGCCATCGAAGCAAGCCGGACTCCACCAAGCCCTGAAGCTGGAACAAGAGCTCCGGCGTCAGAACTACCCTCTGAGCACCATTACGTACCACGCTCTGCTCAAGACCCACGCCATCACCAACCACATCAAAGCCTGTGTTCACACTCTCCGGGTACGACAGCTGCCTTCTCATGTTGGGGTATAAGACGTTGCGTTGCGTCTGTTGAAGAGTTTTGCTTGTGTTTGTAGGAAATGGTGAAAAATGGACATGCTGTAACTCAGGAGACGTTTCATTACCTACTGATGGCCTGTTTAACGGACAAAGACACAGGATTCAGACTGGCTTTGCAGGTAATTCTGATTCTCTGGACCAGTGAGCAGGTTTTGGACTGACTGATTGGATATTTTTAGTTCTATTGAAATGATGCCAAATAACTTAGTTGCTTTTGACTGAACCAGAGTGTATACAATACATAGCATCCTCCACACTTATTGGCACTGCTGATAAAGATGTGTGAAGAAAATGTAAATGAATGTATCAGTTTTTGCAGTAATATTCTGTCCAAAACAAAGCATTTCTTGTTTTGTTGTTTAAAGATTGTCGTTTTGCTGTTTCTGTTGACTGCAGGTGTGGCGTCAGATGCTGCGGTCGGGGATTGTCCCAGACTCAAAGAACTATACTCTGCTCCTACGAACAGCCAGGGATTGTGGGATTGGTGATCCAGCCTTAGCATCAAGTGTTCTGCTGAAGCCTGACTATGAAATTTGGAGGGAAAAGGAAAATGCGTCAGAAGCCAGTTACAAGGGTGTAACAGACATAGACCTTCTAGAGAGGCAGTTGTTTCTTGAACACAGCACTCCCAGTAACAGTCAGACGAACAACAAACTCAGTGAAGAGGAGAAACCCACCCATCTTATGCCAATCAGGCAAACAGAAAACATCTCACTGCCTTCTGACATAGTAGCCGACTCTATAGCCCCTAATCTGCTGGACCTTTTTGAAGGCAGAAGAGGGGCCATGCTCACTCTCAGCTCTGTAGACACAGCCTCTGACAGGTTGGCCCTTGTTGGTGGAGCTAAAGGTTTTCTAGACAAGATGGAGGCTAACGGACTGAGTCCAGACCTGAAAACTCTGACGCTCTTGGCCGACATGATGGAGCCTGGCCACCAGTCCCTGCAGATGCTGTTAAAGGCCGCCAAGCGGCATCAGGTGAAGCTTGACGTTGCATTTTTTAACTCCGCCATCCGCAGAACCGTTAGAGTGGGCACCCCAGAGGATGTAAAGGTAACGGCACACAAAACCAATCAGAAATGAAGTATCAAATCGTAACGAGCTCCCCTGAACTGGTTGCTATTGTCCACCTGTGTAAGTTATATTGGTCTTACATGAAACAATGTTTACATAATTACTGTTACTTTACACAGCTACCATCTGTACGGGCCCAGCTTTTAAGAAAAGTCCAAAGAATTTCACAAACAAGTTCAATGAAGTAAATTTTCCACCGGTGGATTCAGTTTGAGCCGTAGAAACATCCCAAGGATGATCAGTGGAAACGGCTCAATCTGAGCTTCATGACAAAGGCTGTGAATACCTTTGAGATTTCTTGGCTTTCTATTTTTAATAAATTTGCATACAATTCAAAAACCTTTCATGCATTGTCATAACAGGGTATTTGTGTGTAACATAAGAAAATGTGGTAAAAGTGAAGCGCTGTGACTGCTGTATATGTTATGCGTAAATATGTGTGTGTACAGATAGTTTCCATTCCTACTCTCCCCAGGCTGTACTGGGTGTGATGCGACAGAGGAATGTCAGCCTGAATATTCAGACATATGGATGTCTGGCGTTAGGCTGTGATCGGCAGGAGGAAGGTCTGCAGCTGCTAAAAGACATGCAGGTGACATGCTGACTGTTTTATTAAACAACCTGACACTGCACACAATATACACACACAGCTGTTCTCACCACTTGACAGGCAGTAAACTGGTTTGTTTATCTCTGATTGTTTCTGCAGGATGCAGGATTTCGGCCCAATGTCCATGTGTTCTCTGCTCTGATTGGCCGGGCAACTCGGAGACTGGATTACATCTACCTGAAAACGCTCCTGAAGAGCATGAAGGACCTGAGTGTGTGGCCTAATGAGGTCATCATCCAGCAGCTGGAGTTTGCTGCACAATATCCTCCCAACTATAACCAGGTCAGAGCACAAACAAATAACAAAAAAAATCTGTCATGATCTACTTAAACAGATTAGGAAGAAAACCTGTTTTCTTCCTAAATCATTTTAAATAATATTGTTTTTCCACACCTTCCAGTATCATTCTCTTTAATGTCATCTTCAGATGTTGCTTATTTCTCATGATTCCCCTCTTTAATTGGTTTCCTCTCTGTTCGCTTAATCCCAGTACAAATCCAGAAACAACTACCTGGTGCACATAGATGGTTTCCGTGGTTACTACCAGCAGTGGCTGAATGATTCAGCTGCTCAGAGCACTGAGGTGGAAGAGGAGCAGCCAGAGCAGCCGGCGCTGCAGTCTGAGTCAGGCGCTGTGGTGGACGGACTGACTGAGGCTCAGAGGAACCACAGAGCAGCAGCCAGAAGACATTTTTCTCGCCACAATAAGAAAAACATCTCCCAGTCTTATTAGGCTTTATCAATATGAATGGACTTGGGTCAAACAATGGCTGTAGTCAGGAAATGTGGTTTTGTATTGAAAATGTTGATGCAATTATGGTTTATTATATACTTGATACATTCTATCTGGTTTTTGTCTTGTTGAGTTTATGATCCTTTGTGGTGGGACGGCCCAGTTGGGATCCAGTTTCAGAGCTCCATCTAAGAGTGTAGGGTGAAGAGGTACCGCTGCCAGTGAGACAACCCCTCAGCATAATGCTGCTACCACCCTGCTTGATAGTTGGTCCGTTCTTGGGTTTAAAATCCGTTTGAAGAACCCACCATGACGAGCCACTTAGCAGTTTTCAGTCAGGTTTTCTTCCTAATCTGTTTAGTACATCATGACAGATTAAATGACTATAGAAGAATACTAACAGACTCGCGTGAGTCTTCCCTCACGCTATAAAGACTACAGTA